GAATAAAAACTGCTACGTGTCCTCTACCTTCCAAAAAAAATTCAGCTCATTTGGTTGAAGATTCATGAAAATATTCAAATTTTTTTCTCCAACTCTAGTGAATTACTGGACACCCTATATATTGTTGATAAAGAGCGTAAACTAGCTTATCCAATAGAATTACTGATAAAAACAAAAGAATCAATTATAATTAGTTTGGAATTTGAAATGACATTTTTGAAACGAAACGAATTTCTACCAGATCCAAATCATGGATTTCACTATTCCAAGTACTGTTATATCAACATTTCTTTTTTCAACAACGAAATCAAATTATATTGTTCGATCACTCAATTCATTTTCTTTAAATGAAAGGTAAAATCTTGAGTTGAGTAAATATACATGATCGTATTTTTATTTAGTCTTTCGTCATCATGCAATGGTTTTCTTCAATTTTATTCCGAATCCTTACTTGTTAATCTTCCAATACCTGATTTTAGTATGCCATTCAATGTAATTTGTTCGGGTTGTACGGCTGTTGCTTGTGCCTTTGGTGGTTTACACAATTTGGCAGCAAAAAAAATTGGATTTGGTACAAAACGTTCTAAGATTTCATTTCGATAACGCTTAGAAGATCTTCGACTTCGTGTGATGACTGGCCATGCTGTCAAAATCGCCTAAGTTTGAATGATTTATCCAGATTTATTAGGTCGATTAATCATACGATAAATAAGCATGGTAAAGCGCCGATTTTCGTGCGATTTTGATCACATTGTTCTTTTCTTTGCTAGTGTATCACATACTGTTTTAGATTGATCGATCATCTATTTGATGAGTGATGCATCTCTTAAAAAATTAGATTATGTTATAATTCGAACAAAATTCTCATAATTACGTTGCACAACAGATAATCGTGACATTTTCTATACAACTTATGCAGGTACTCTTGATAATACTACATCGAACAACAATTCAACTGCTTCTACAGAAAAGGCCAAAGTTAAGGTAAAAATCCTTTTTTTTCTACGTTTTTATATTTGCTTTAGGGTGTGGGTGTCCGTCTTGTGGTCATTCACACCCACACCCACACCCTACACGATTCCTAATGCAACGTAGAAAAGAAATCATACTATACAAATATTTTTTATTGGATTGCAATCCGAAAAAGACTATTTATTTCTAGCATTTAATCAAATTCTTTTTTTCAGTGATAGAGGAAAGCAGAAATTAAAGCAAAACTATGCTTGCAAGAAACCATCAAAGAAAGAAAATGTGTTCATCTTTTTCAAATAAATATTTTCATTTTTAGTTTTTGTATTTTGTAAAATAAATAACAGTCATAGTTTAGTTCATTACTGAGAAATATATTTCCTTACCTCTATAAATATGAAGAAATGAATTATTTTCTGGGGAGGAAAGAATTGAATTTGAAAGTTTAATTTTAATCATTTAAGTTAATTAAATTTAAATGAATTTTTTTCATTATTGTAGAGACTTAAATTAAATATCACTGGGTTACAAAAACGTCGAAATTTAGTATGATGAATAAGTGGAGCAAGATGATGTTTATGAAAGAAAGAAGGAAAAAATGGATTTAATGTTTAATGACCTATATTTTTCTTGAAAAAGAAATTCTAATACACCCTCGTAGAAAATTATCAAGTCAAGGTCAAATTATCTCTCTCATATGTACAAAATGCTCGCTGTTGTTAATTCATCTCTCACAAAGTATAAGATATTCTAAAGAAATAATTTGTTTAATGTGAAAAGAAACTTTGTTTGACCTGAAATATTCATCAATTAGGACCACTTGATTTTTATCTTGTTATCATCTTCAACTAGAAGGTATCCAAAGCAACCTATAATAGTTATTCTTTGTACCTGGACAACTTTTCTCTCATGCATTATAAACCAATCATTGAAATAAGATAAATCTTATTTCAAATATCATTGACTTTCGATTGACAATATTATCACAAACACAAAGAGAAAAACTATATTTACTGGAATTGAAGTTTCTAATAAGGGGAACGATCAGATGAAGACTCTAGAACTGACACTGAAATTCACTAGTAGTTAGGTGCTCTTTATTACCATCAATTTCAAGTGAAACGAACCCTTTCTTAAAACTGATCTAAACAATCTAACAAAGTATTCGATGTTCTAGTTTTGTCTTATATTATCAAACGGTTCCAGCGTTAATGATCTATCGACATCAGAAGGTATCTCGAAATAGAAAATACTTTTTCTTCAAAAAAAAACAATGAATGTTCTTACGAGGGAAGGTCCCCAAGTGATTAAAAGCTTTAGAGCCCATGTTTTGCCCAGTGATAGGGGACCCAAAGACTAGAACAAACCCCAAAGGGTTTGGGCTGAGATTAAGATTTCACCGAGATATTGAATTGCGAAGTTATAAGTATTCTAAGCATGTTTCACTACATTTTATTTTTCTGCATATTTTAGCTAAGGATTGCTATAACTTGGAATTTTTCCATAATTACCTGAGATGATCCTCTGATTCTGCTAAGAGAGGGTGTGGGTGTGGGTGTGGGTGTGGGTGTGGGTGTGGGTGTGGGTGTGGGTGTGGGTGTGGTGATGGGTGTGGGTGTGGTTGTGGGTAGGTGTGGGTGGGCATGGGTGTGGATGTCGGTGGATCTGATATGTCAGGATCCATTCACCCACACCCACACCCACACCCACACCCACACACCCATACCCACACCCACACCCACACCCACACCCACACCCACACCCACACCCACACCCA